GTACTAGCCAAGTGAATTGAACGTTCTTTCATTCTGTCATATTCAATGTGCCTAATTGTTTCATAGGTCAGAAACATTAAAGATGGCCATTTTCCAACCTTACCCACCAACTTTGTCTATTGTTAAAATAGGCAGCTAATTCCAGTCACTTCAGTGTAGCATTCATGTAAAGCAGTCATAAGAAAGCTATACATATTTAATCAATTAAAATACAAGACCTCCAAATCAGTCTAAGAAATAAATATTGAAGGATCCATTAAGCTTTCTCAACATCTTTACCTAATAGCATTCATATAAGCAGTCAAAAGAAAACTATACATATTTAATCCGTTAAAAGGTTTCTGTGGCGCAATGCATAGCACATTGAACTTCTAGAAATTGAAAGCAATTCAAAGTTTTTTGGTTTAAGTCCCACCAGAGTGGCTACATTATGTACTTTGAGAAATGTGCTACATAGTTCACCTATTTTTTAAATCTCTCTTGCTTTAATAACCACTTCATTTCCAAGCATTACATACATGTCCCAAAAAAGGCAGGAATTCCTACAGTTCTAGCCAAGGGAATAGAACATTTGTTTCATTTTGTCATATTTGATGTGCCTAATTATTTAATAGGTCAGAAACATTAAAGATTGCCATTTTTCAATCTACCCCCCTACTTTTCCTATTGTTTAAATAGGCAGCCAATTCCCACTAACTTCTATTTTTTTTCCATCTTTGTGTGTTATGTGTGGAAATTGCCATAAGCGAATTCCCAGTTTCTCTGTTAAGGGTTGTTTCAATTTATCCTGCGATATGGACAGCCAGTTATTGTGGCATTTACTATGTTTGTTTTCCCGAATGTTATCCAGTAACACAGATTGACAGCCAGTGACAAATTAATCATGTTTGTTCTCTTCTGCGTATTTGCAGCTCATTAGCTTAGCATCATTTTCATAAATAAACTAGTGTCTTGCAGAACATCCCGAGGGCAGTATTTTTCGATAAACTTTCTGTTCGCCTTGAGGGCTGCAGATCCTCGCTCTCCCTCCTTTTCATTGGCATGTTGTCTTTTAGAAGGCTTGTTTGCACCAACCATATACTGCCAAACTTTGCCTAGAGGGGGAGTTGTTGTTATATGATGGGGATTTGGGGGTGTGCTCATCTGTCAGATAACAGAGGAACAAAGGGACGGAGGGGAGATTTATAAAAAATAAAATGACGTGACTTAATCACAACTGTGGTTCAAACATTTACTTACCTTCCGGTGAATAGTGCTCTGGCATTAACTCGCTAAATGAAAAATTTAGTCGCATTTTGGGAGTGGCAATTGTTAATTTCAGACCCTGATTAAAGGCAATGAAACAAGATAGGGTTTTTGTTGAAAATCTTTCCCCCTTAAAGGTCATCTGACACAGGGCTCTGTGACACAAGGTTGGGTTCGGGTTTCACCAGAATCACATCATTATTTACTTCTCAAAAACAAAAGAAGCAATTAGTGTAACAACTATTGCTAGAACTGTCACGTGACAAAATGCTCTCTTGGTGTAACGCCTAGCACACTGGCCTTCTAGATCAATAAACAGATGCAAAGGTTATTGCTTCGAGTCCCACCAGAGTTGTGTCATTATCTGTTTCTTAAAAAAAAATTTAACAGAAGTGGTTGGTATTCTAATGTAGAGTGAACAAAGATTGCAAAGGTACAATTTACCAACTCAATTTACTAATCACTTCCTTTATAATGAGAATGGAGGATACGAGGAACCATTTTAACACTAAGAAAAGCTCACAGAAATGAAATGCATTTTTTTGTTCATATATACTTACAAAAACCAAGCACCCCGAGATCTTTTAAAAACCTTTCAAAACATTACCTTTATATTACATAAATTCGAACATGTGTATTTTTCTGGTGGTGAAAAAATAGAAATTAAAGAAATTGAGGAGAAAAACCTTTGGATGCAGCATTATTGAGAGCAGAACGAAATTCCTTTACATTTAAGCGAAAATTATATTTTTAGCAGAATCATTTACATTTTGTTTTTACTTAAAATAGGCTATATAAAAGTTTAAGTTTAGTGTAACCATTACTTTTTTATGCACCTTTTTTAATTATTTTTAGTGTGTACCAACAAATAAAATCAACTTGAAGCAGCTTACATGGTTGTTTTCTGCGCACTTCTCTCACATTTCTTCATCACTAGTATCTTAGTTACTAATTGCTGGGTTGAAGGATCTGAGAAGGAAGCCTGTGAAAAGGAGACATATTCTCTACATTTGTTTTTCCTTGAAACCAAATAATTTAATAGTTTTAATTTTGTTTGAGACCAAATGTTTTTGGAACATTAGTATAACAAAACTGGATCATTACTTAGGTTGTAAGAGATGTAATACAACCAACAATTAAAACTACTACAACATCTTGACCAAAAGTTGTAGGTAAACAATTTTGATATGCTTGTCTTGTATTCAGTCATATGATTTCTTTGGAAATAGTTTATTGAATTTATTGAGAAAAAGCTGAAGGTTCATTGGATAACTGTCTAAATGAAATCAGTTTTAGATAATAAGATGTGACTTAGTCACATTTTTGAAGATCTAATTCTGTAAGACAAAAAGAAGCTCTTTTGACATGTCCCTTTCAAAGATAATTAGAGTTTGTCTCATGAATGCAAACAACCCTTGTGCCACTTTCAAGGACAATTCTTCACAGCCCATAAGAGTGAACATTGAGTGGCAAAGTGACCAGAATTTTAAGCAAAAGGCTTTACTTACCACTTGCAGAACACTGGAGACACTTTCCCATGTCGCTTCCTTGATGTAGTCTCCACCGTCTACCATCCCCTGGTACCCCTGAGATAACAAATCACCATGACAGGCACAAAATTAATAAATAATTTGATAGGCAATTAAAAAAGGTAATCAATTTAAAGAAATAAGTAGCAACGGAATTTGAAGAGAAACATGTGCTTTTTGAAGATGCTAAGGATTTTTGTTCAAGGTGTGCTCACAAATAGAAAATTGTTAAAAACTAATAAATTAATTAATGCATAAATGCACATGGCGATATTAAATGTAAAAAATAAAAATAAAAAGTGTGCATTTCTCTATTGTCCCACAATAGGGAAATTCACTCTCTGCATTTAATGCATCCTACTCATTCACTCACTACATCCCCATTGGGGAGCAGTGGGCTGCCATTGTGTGGCGCCCAGGGAGCAGTGTGGGGTTAAGGATTTTGCTCAGGAATCCAGAGTGGAGGCTGTGGGGAACAAACCAGGTACTTACAACCTTCTCAGAGCACAAGTGAACTGCGCTAACCACTAGGGCCAACACCCCCCTTAAATGATAATTAAAGAGATTTTTTTTCCCATCAATAATATAGTCATAGTGATCATTTAAATAAATTGACTTGCATTAAAAAAATAAGTTAAATCACTATTCATCTGGGACTGACCAATGAGAGCAGAACATATTTAAAGAGACAGAACTAGGAGTAAAATTCTTTAAACTCATATTTGGTGTTAAAACATCAGTATGAAGGAAATAACAACCATATCGCCCTACATTTTGTCATGTAGGCAGTGCATAAAAATAAAAAATACAAATTCCCCAGTTATAATAAAAAAAAAAAAAAACATTAGTAAGAAAATTATTGCATAAAAACTTGTCAAAGGTGTTGGAACCCACCAAAGAACACTAGGGAAAGAATTACAGCTGAAAGGCTATTAAAAATGCAACTAACATCCATTGGTAAACATACACTTTCCCTTTGTGTGTTGAGGAACATTTACAGCTGCTGAGTCCCCTGTTCATCTAATTTATTGCCAATATTAAGGTCAGTTTAATAACGTGTGCTGCATCTCTTACATTTTAAATAAAGTTTTCAACAAAAAGTTTTGGAAAGACTTAAGCAGCCCAATGCAGCAGTTATTGCTGAGATGTGATGGTTTCCATAGACACAGCAAAGGCTTTTACATCACCAGGACACATCCAGTGTACTAGTAAAGCATCTTTGCACTAAGCTGTCCTTACTTACAGCCCAGTGGTCTCACCAGGTTGATAAGAGTTGAAATGTAGTCAGTGAAGGATGAATCCTGGTTCTGATCATTCAATTACATTCACACTAAGATTAGGTTGGCTTTAGCTCCACTTGTTTTCTGGACATTTTTTGTTTTCTAACATTCAATTTGGTAAAGCAATAAGAAATGAACAGAGCCCCCTTTGCAAGATCAAATAGATGGTAATTGACTGTGGGAGGGAGAAGTTATCTTCACCACCAGTACAGATCATAGGGAAGAAGTGGATGACCTGGGTGACAGGAACGAATGGGGATGGGCAGACTGCTCTTTTCTTTTTTTCCCCCCTTTTTTTTAGGAAGCCTAATTACTGCATGCAAAAAAAAATGTTGGAGATCTTTTATCAGCTGTGGCCCTTTGTTGTGGGAGTAGCATCTGTGCCAAGGATCCACACAGCATGAACAGGATCATCAGAAGATCGGGCTCAGTGATTGGTCTCAGGTTAAAGACATTTGAGACCTTGGTGTACAGGAGATTACGGAAACTTTAACCCATAATGGTTCAGACCACCCTCTCCACAGCACACTATGTAAACAGCAGAATACATCTTCAAACAGAGTGTTTAAGCTCTGGTGCCTTACACAATGATAGGGGGCATTTTTCTAGCAATCTTATATTCATCTTTCTGATGCAAAAACCTGCAGTTTAATATATTTCATATTATAGGTTAACCCAAATAAAATATGCAGTACAAATGTTGCACAAGTTAATTTTTTACTTCACACTCTAGCATTGAAAATGGATAGATGTAATTACATAAAGCAGAGTTCCACATTATTTTGAATTCATTGGGATAAATCAGATATTTGTGTATTATCAACTTCTCTATCCATATATTCAACACATGGGGTAAGAAAATGGTGCTAAATAACATCCAACTTGCATAAAGCATGAGGCTGCAAATGCACACACCTGTTAACTGCAACTTCTAAATATATTCAAACACTAAAGAGGAATCAGATGTCTAACACACAACCTCATAATAAAGACAAAAAATATATATAAAAATATGGGAGATTCTAATATGGGAGAATTAATTTCTTCAACCAATGTTTTAACTATATGTGTAATGTGTTGGTAGAGCGCTATATTACATTTTTGTGAAACCAGTATGATTCATCCTCAATAGTATTCTAATTGTTTACACCTAAGTTTAAGTGTTTGTATTTTTGTATTTAACCAGGAAGTCCCATTAAGATTCAGAATCTCTTTCACAGGAGAGACCTGGCCAAGGCTGCGGCTAAATCACAATAAATGCATATAAATACTCATCAAGATACATTTTACATGCTGTTGTTCTTGTCACAAAATCCAACTCGGTAACAAATGAGGTTTATTAGTTTTAAGGAGGTTTAAGTACATTGAGGAAAATCAACCAGTGCTTATAAATTGAATCTAATGTTATGTCTAAAGGGTTTTTAGAAATATTTAGCAAAGGCTAGACTTGAAAAGCAAGTTTGAATCTAGCTTGGTCTTTCAGATCAAATGATAGTTCAGCTTTAGATGCAGATTTAGGGTATAACAGAAAATGTAGCCTTGGCCTCCCAAGGCAAGTCAGTCTCACCTCATGAATAAAGTAGACTTTGGCTCCCACATAAATTCCCATTCGGACTACGGCCCGGACAGCTCCATTCATACCTAGGAACACAAACAGAAACAACAGATTTTTTAAAGATACTTTTATAAGTTGATTCTTGCTACAGACATAAAATTGCAAACAGGAGCCTCTTTCGTAACACTCTGATAAATGAGTCATATCTAATGCCTGTTTTACCCAAAACAACCCTGAAGGACTTCTTCCAGGAGGTACATGTTGATTTAATATACAGACTTGTTTATATTGAAGAGCTACAATTGCTAAAAGTATGAGAAAATGCATAATTTGAGTCAATGTGGAACTAGAAACTCAGAAAATATTAAACTGTCATGGTTCAGCCAAGAAAAAAGCTGTATAAAAAAATATAGCATAACTACTTAAACCTCTTTGTTTAAGAAGATGTCAATCAAACAGGTCAGAGGATGAGAGTAAAAGCACTGCAAATACATAAACATGCAACATAAACAAAAGTCCTGCAAACACAAACTAGCGACTAACATAAACAATAGTATAATACACAAAACACATGCAAATTAAAAACGCTGCAAAAGAGAAATGCTGTATCACAAAAAATACAAGTAGCTACAAAGAAAATGCACATAGGTGCGGCACAAAACGCACCACAAACACATAAATGATGCTCACTCACAAAGCACATGCTAAGATAAAACCCCATCAGCAGCAAAAACAGCGGCAAGATAAGGAAAGTTGTAAACCAGCTCCAGATACAAGTGTGGATCTGGAGGATACCACACTTGTAACAGTGTAATGACAATAAGGTTTAATTCTATTCTAAGTGCTCCATCAACTCATATTACTATGGCCTTCTCTGGCTTACCTACATAAAGCCACATTTGTGAAGTGCATGATAAATATTGACCCTGCCACTGATTCTTCACCACGGTTGTGCATCTTTGCTGCTCCAATGCTTTTTAAATCAGCACTTTGGCTGTTTATATATAAACAATCGGTGCCTAAGTAGGTTTGCTTTTGTATTCCAATTGATTAAATTACACAATTATCAAAAAGTTGCTCATGGCTAAAAATGTAGTTTTAAAACTGATCTTGCATTGCTGCACAATATTATCATTGACCTCTTATTTGTTCTCCTCAGTTTCAGTGTCATAGGCAGATCTAGACTGGGGCCAACGGGGGCCAGTGTCCCTGTAGATCATGTCCTGGCCCCTGTCATGGCCCCTGTACTGAAGAAATAATACTCAAAGAAATTCCAATGATGATATGCGCTGGAACATATGTGGATATTTATAGTTCTTTTAGATCTATTTCATTGTTTTTCTTTACAAATTCTGTTTTACTAATTATTTTTCATCTGCTAAATGCTTTTTTCAAAACAAATTAAAAAAATGTTTCATATTTTTACAACCGAATTTATCAGTTCCTCTTGAGTTCTAATTCAGATTTTATAGAACAAGGTTATTTTAACTTAAATTAAGTCAAAATAAGTAAAATTCCTAAATTCTGAATGTATATTGACCTAATAAGGCAAATAATTTCAATTAAACTTAATTGAATAGAAATTTCACTTCATGCAACTCTCTTAATAAATTTGAATCCCCTGCCCTGTATTTTTTTGTTTTTCATGCTTTTCTGTTCCCCCATGAAAATATGTTGGCCCCCTCCTGGCCCCCCGTCACATTTGGTCTAGAACCACCACTGCTCAGTCTGATGATTTAATATGATTACTAGGGCTTAAAAGAATCATCGGCTTAATCATGATTTATCGATTATTGAAATATACAAATTTAATAGTTCATTAATCGTTAAATGGAGTACAAAGATTCTAAAACATGCCTTTACCTGACAGAGCAACCCACATAGAGCAGTCGTTATATCAAAATTGTAAAATAAATATCTGAACATTTTGCATTTAAGATAAAAAAAAAATACTTTTTCATCTGTCAATATGTTCAATCCAGAACTCCTCAAAAGGAAACAGTTTAGTTTCACCTGGTTTAATTTGGTAAGAAATGTTCTTTAAGGAACCTTTGGTTGTCTGATTATTAATCGATTAATTGAAAAAATAATAAGCAGATTAGTCCATTTTCTAAATAATTGTTAGTTGCATGAATGTTTCAATTTGCGTTGGTCTATTTCATAAAATCCCAATTATAAATATGGAAGGTTTGTTACTGTGATGTAAAAAAATGTGGAAAGGTTTAAGACACACTAAGCCAAGAGTTGATACCATATACCGTAAAAAAAAAGAGAAATTATTAAACTAATTTCAGCTTTATTTTTTTTCATCAACGTTGACACATGATTAAAATGCAATTCCTGTAAATCCTGTAATCCTAATAGAGCTGTAGTAAAAACTGACACCATCAGGGCCTTGGTTACCCATCCCCTGTGTGACCTGATCTTTATGTAAGCTGAAAGCAGCAGCATTAACAGGGAGCGGCCGGCAAAAATAGGTCAAAACAGAGGAAAACTGAGAGAACAGAAGTGCCCCTAAGGTTGCTGTGCCAAAACACAAATTAGCCTGTCAGAGCCCTCAGTGCAATTAGACATTAGATTTCAAATCTCAGACCTATTCTAGAGGTTTTACATAAACAGCTGGATGTGATTAGAATAAAACAAACTTGGTCATGTACTAATTGTTACCTTTAAAGGTTTTTATGGGATTTTAGGATGGGATTTTAGGTTTGCAGACTAAGAACTGACTAAAGAGAGCGGCTGTTGCTTCGCCGGAGGGAAGTTGTCTCGCAATCTAAAGATCTGAGTTTGTTCCTGCTCCATCCTGTGACACGTGGATGAGCTCCTGCAGACGGCATCTAACAGTTGCATACTGATCTGCCAATTGATCTAGTAACGTGGCTGTTACTGTATCAAGTAAAAACTGCTTTAAAGATTGGTTGTTATTACAATCTATGTTTTATCCCAATAAAAAATGAATGAATAAATAAATAAAATGTAAGGGAAATGTAATTTATAATATATTACGAAAATAGGAAAGTTGTTTCTTTTTTTGACAAGGATGAAAAATGGCTGCAATTACTAAATGGTTTATTTGAGAATATTTATACTCTGTGAAAGTAATGGCATCCTGGAATTTTTTTAATGTCTGTAGGCCAATGAAGTATTTCCTGTGCTGCTGCTAAATCTTCCTGGGACACTAATGTGCTTTGACCCTGCACTAGTCTGTGGTCAAGTGTTGGTTGAACATGTTGTTCTGTCAGAATGTTGCAGCTGTACAATGCATCCCCCCACAGCAATACATTTATCTCAATGTGCACAATTACAAACTTCCTGTAACGGGCAGATATTTCCTGGTATAGTGCTTTTATTGGGTGTTGAACTTTTCAGGCTTGCAATGAACAATAAAACTACTTAATTTTAAAACTAGGCTGTGTTATCCCTCTACTGTATCTTTAAAATGTTGGTAAAGTCACATATAGTCTCAGGTTCTGTGACTCTTGATTTTTGTTTGCAAAGGTTTCTGCTTTTTCTTGTCTACATAGCTCTTCTTTCCATTTTGTCTCGTGAGGCATGTTCCTCTGTCGACCTTTGACCTGTGACACCTGGTCTCTGTTTGCTCTTACAAACCTCTCTTTAATCCTTGAGTTATCCTGTATTCACTCTCTCTTTTGTTCACCAACAGTTTGTTGGTTTATATAACACAAAAAGCTCCAATTCTTTGTTTAGAGATATTCGCATTTTCTTTTATGTGCACTTGCTGCTTTTTTGTATTTGGCTCCAACAGGTTTACTGATTTTGACGTTTGTGTTTTTCAATTTAAGTATATATAAAAAAAACTCACATAGCTTTAATAAAAAAAAAATATATCATGATATCAAGTGTTTTTAAGACCTTTTCCTGAGTTACACAAAGACAAGGATATTCTGAGCTAAAATAGTTTAAAGATGATGTATTTCTAGACTTTCAGAAGATTTAAGAAAAAGAAAATTTGATGCTTTTTTATTATTCTGTTAGATTTTTATTAATCAAATATGCTTTATGAATATATCCCATTAATTTTTACTTTTGACTTTTATAATCAAGGTTACAACTGTGCAGTCTTCAGGGCTACTGCATATTCGTGAGGTAACCAGTGATTTAAAACAAACATGGTGGATGAAGCACCTGGTTTTATGACATAAGACCTTGATAAAATATGTTTTCTCAAGGTTTTTCTTTAAGTCTAAAGCATACAGTGAGAGGATATTTAGAAGTTTAAAGGCTCCGGAAAGCACAGCAGCATGAATACAGAGATCTGTTTGGTCAACATGCCAGCAAGAGATTGATGAGGAGGAGAGAAAACGATGCAACTGAAAGTTTTGTAAAGCTGCTGAATGTTTTCTTTTGTGGACAAAGAGGTTTTCTGTTACTTTGCTACTTTGCTTTTCTCTGAATTAAGTAATTAAATGCATTAATTGGATGCATTAAAACAAGCATATAAATGAATAAATGCTGTGCAGAAGTTGTCTAGTAGGAACAAATCCTTTTGACCTTATTCTTTTTAAATTATGTTTAAATATAGAAATAATGTTAATATTTATAATATACAAATTTGAGATAAATGCAATAAATAAAGCTAATAATCACTGTTAATCTGTAGATTATGATACCATAATAGTGTTAGATTGAAGCTCATTCTTGTTTTCTTCACTAAATTGATTCCTAATATTGTTTACTTCTGGTCAATTTCATATTGGGCATATTGAATACTTTGGGTTTTTTCCATTCGTAAATACATACACACACCACACACCAAGACTAAAAGCTCGTCCCCTTTACTGGCTCAGGTCTGTTTAATTCGCATGGGATCATCGGATGGCGACCTCATTCTTTAGACTCTGCTCAAAGGCATAATCACAAGAGCTCATTCAGTAAACTTGGCAGAGAAGAGGAGGCCCAAGCAGGAGCTCATAACAACAACTAGGCACTAGAATTAATTAGTGTGCATATTTCTACTGTTTACCTTCAGCCTCTAATACATAAAAGCATTAACTCTGTTTTAGATCAAAAATGTTGCAATAGCAGGAGCGGTTTATTTTGCGATTAGTCATTTATGACCCTGGGCATCCTATCAAATACATTTATATCTATATATATTGAAGAAAATAAACTGCACCGTGGTGAAATGAAAAAAAAAGAAGAATTGCAGCAGCAGATCTAATTTTCTTCAAATTTACAGAGCATTGCTCCATCCACCTAAACTAGAAGTGGCCAAGATGTCCACTCAGATTCAACTCTATTTATGGACCATCTGTTGATTGTGTTCTCAACAAATTTGATCTTGAGGGAAGATTTACAAAACAAAACAAAAAAAGATTTGGTCCTTGGTTTGCTTTGATCTACTGAACGGTTCAGACTGAATTCTGATAGTGGTCACATTTAATTAGCAGTTTGAAGGAAAACTCAGAAAAGATCGAAAAATCGGAATTGAGGATCAAAGCCTGCTGTGTGAAAACAGCTGAAGTAGATCAAATATAAAGCAATGAAAAGTTGAATGAGTCACATATTTATGGGCAAAAAGATTGGATTTGACTACAGTGTGAATGTAATTTGGCCTCTTCTGTTTCAATGTCAGTTTTCCTTTTTACAAATTGCTTAGTTTAGTGAGGAAAAAGTTCAAATCCAGTTTATCATAAAATATCTTTGCATTTATACTGGGTTTCTGTTCTGCGAAAGACATGATTTAATGTTCAGATGTAAGCTATTTAAATCTTAAAAATGTCCTTTATCACTGAGCTTAAGTCTCATTAGCATTAAACTGTAATCCTTAAATCTGTGGAAGTTTTAAACAATATCCCAAAGGTTGGGGTGATTTAAGCATAAAGTGGGACGTGTACTCACCAAGACTGCTGTTGCTAAGAGATGAGTGCTGATTTGTTACCGAGGTCAGTGCAAACATGTCAAATGTGTTTGAATTTGTTAGAAACCTACTGGGTCTAAGGGAAATCAATAATATTAATGAAGAAAAAAAACTGGCTACTATTGGATGATGGGCTACACACCTGTTTATCTATGTGCAGTGAAACAGATGGAAAAATCTAACAAATAGTGAAAAATGCAGCCAGATTATCACCTCCCACCATTAACACACCCTGGTGGAAAGATCAAACACCATGATTACATCAGCAGCTGTTAGATTAGCAAGAAAGTCAGACTATAAATTCAAAATATTATTAAAAAAAGACTGAAATCAATTTCTTATTATTAATATTGTAACTATAGATATAACTATAGATTATAACTATAGAACAATTTAGATACTTAAAATGATAGTTTTAGGCATTTTTATCACATTTACACTCACTGTGTTGCAACATTTCTGCTGTCCAGCTACTGTTTAGCAGATTATTTTTATGCATTTGATCAGTGCAAACCTTTTCAGCAGAATGTATATTGCGCCACTTCTTTCTGCATTTTTAGGCAGATCCCTTTCTCACCCTTCTAGTTTGAGAAATAGATGTGGGTTTTACTGTTATTTATTCTTATTTAGACCTGTTTGACTAAAAATACAATCCAACTACATGATGCTCACCTGACTGACTGACTCTGTGTACAAAGCACATATCTTCTGCAAGTCAGTCTGATTGGCCAGGCTAACATGATCACCCTTTTTTAATCACGAGGATGATTGGTTTAGTGTTATGATGTGAAACACTAAGAGTGTTTTGAATTCAGGGTGAGGGTAGTATTCAACCAGCCCTTTTACTTCCATTTGTTTTGGCTTTTGACAAACTAATAATGAGACTTGTTATGGAGGCTAACCTTGCATGAAGGCCAGATTCATGAAATAGAGAGCTAATTGTGAACCCACTGACAGGATATAAGAACCTTATTCGTAGATCTCTGCAGACGCTGCAGAATGTGTGATTTTTTTCCATTAACATTAGTATGTGCAGTTTCTTTTGGACAATCACTTAAAATCTTTGTATCTGTAGGAAAAGGGAGGATGTATAAGGTATAGCAAAGTGCTGTATTAGTTATACGATTGCTACATGTTTCAAGATGGGTAAAGCTTTATTATAATCATTATTAAGGGCGTATACATAAATACCTTTGGATTGGTTTTATAATCAACAAATTTATATTTTAATGATACAACAATAATGTTTAAAGGTGATAATTTATTGGTACACACATAATTAGAAATATGCCTGCTGTCTTTATTAGTAGACTTTGTTATTATGACTCATTTCTGCTTATGGCCTAACTGTACATTTTTATTATTCCCCAGCTAAATGAGGTATTTGATAAAATAATATTCAGAATGATACCAAAACACTGAAAGCTTGTAGAGTGGATGAAACAAATATTTAGAGTTTAGAGCAGGAAGGGAAACTCTGCATTGCATTGGTTATAGAAGGCTATTTGTTTTAGGCATTTAATAAAGGCTAAGGATGCAGGCAGCTCTCAGTGCTCCCAGATGAGACTCAGCGAGTCTCACTGTCAGCATCATTTTCACACTGGCTGCACGGTTTTAAAGGAGCAGTTATAATTAAATCTCAGCTGCTGGCACAAGGAGCCTGTCCTAAATACAAAGGCTGTCCACGATAGACAGCAGGGGCATTGACAACTGAGAAAGAGCATATCCTTCCACTCTTAACAGCAGCCTATAGGCACAAGGTGTTGTGTAACAGCCAACAATAGCTGTGCTTTAACCGATGCACATGTGTTTGTCCTGGATGTCAGAGTACAACGTGTTCCATGCATATGAAGAGCCGATGGGTAATCACACTCTAATGAGGTTTAAGGTGAATTGAGTGCACTGCATGCAATTAGCGAATTGATTACATATAAATTGTTCCAAAGTTTACTTTTAATGACTTTGTGTTCATCTTTACTCTTCATGACATTCTGTTTAATAAACTTCTCTATAAAACACCTTTTTTTTTAAATACTACTGTAATTTATTTATTTATTTATTTGTTTTTGTATATTTAGATGTGAATCTCCATCCCATCGTTTCAGTAAATACTCGCTGCTCCTCACGTACTCTGCTTGACCTTCAGTGACTGGAAAAGTTAAGTCGCTGAAGGTCACCGGAAGTAGATCACGACGTGTTTTGAAGTTACACAAACGGAAGCTTTAGCCGACAGGGGAATCCGTTTTATTCTGAAAAGCTGCACCGGATGCAGATTGTTTTTAATTCAGGTAAATTGACGCGTTGGTCCAGTCGTGACTCAGCCTTCGTGATGCAGGAGGAATTATTTCTGAGGCAACAGAAAAGAGAAACAGCTGACAGGAAGTCTAACCCGCACCACACTGCAGCTAATAAACAAAATATTATATATTAAAAAATAAATAAATAAACTTTTATACGACTATAAACAGTGAATTATTAAAGTGCAAAAAATTCTTCAAAAAATTAATAAAACAGAATATTTGGAAACAAGTCGCAATAGTTAAATCCTGTCACGTGGTTTTGTGTAACTGGCAAAGACGCACAGAAAAAACGCGCAGCTGATCCATTTGGGAAACAGTCCCTGTGGGGAGGCGCGCACAGGCCTGCGCCATCTGTGCAGGTGACGCTGCATACTTGGAACACCTTGCATTAAATACATATGAGTTCCTCAGTCACCTGTTGATACTATAGCTGCTTTTTAATTTATGCAGGAGCCTTGACACGTGTTTGTATCAGACTGTGAATCTTTATTCAAACTTGTAACATCAACCCTCTGCGAAGAATGCTGCAGCATCCGCGCTAAAAATAAGAGACGCTGGAGATGTGAGCGCAAGCTGTTGCGTAACCGTCGGGAAAATCGAAGAGCGGACACATAAATCCCTGTAGAAATAGGCCAATATATAATAGATAATATATTTAACTATATTAGGAGGAACTTTTATTTTTTCTTCCACCGGTGACGCACTGATATTATGGCACACTCTGTTCCTGCTGCCAGGGCAATGCGCAATTTGGACAAGCTTATCAGATGAATCCTTTATCGGACAAATGGGCGTCTGCAGTGTTTCATTAAATAATTATATGTAATTCATAGAGATAAATCAAGATGAATTATGGGTGGAAAAAAATCCAGCTTGTATAATTAAAAGTAAAAAGAGCTTAGGGTAGAAACTGCCCTGACTGCATATTTTGGAGCGGAGTTAGTTTCTCTTTCTCCGATCGCGCAATGATTCTGATTCCAGTTGGGAGTTCTTTACAGTCCAACCTGACTATGTTACCTTGAGCATCTCCACCGCTGGTCAGGACTGCGATGGATTTTCCGGCGCCAGAAAGATTCTCGAAAAATTTCCGGGTGTCCTGTCGCTTGGGTCCCGTCACTCCGGCCATCTCTGCTGTCTGTCTGGGCTCTCTGAGCGGCTGTCAGGGAAGTTCAGATAAAACTCTTCAGAGGAGGATAACACTGGGGGGGATCTGAGGGAGAACTGAGGGTGACAGTAGTAGACAGGGCCGGGTACCGCCCCCCGCCCCCCCTTTCAAAGATCCTACATTAGGACAGATTACTGCCTCTATTCCTTACAAGGAGGAGGAATTTCCATTGCATTTCTCTATGAGGAGGGGAAAACAGCACAGAAGTATTAGATTTAAAAAACCTTCCTTCTCAGATTATTTTAATTTCCTGTTATAGTTTTAAAACATCATTTTGCATTTTGACACCTGATGGGGTGTAAAAGTTGTGTTGTTTTTTTTAAGGAAATGGGCATGTTACTCTGAAATGGGAACGACTTTTTTCCGTTTCATGTTGTTTCATCCTTCTATATATAAATAATAAAAATTATATCCTTAGAAAGTTATCCCATTTTAGCTGAGATGTAGGCCTTTATATGATCATTACAGCAATTTCACATTTTATCTATAGTAGCCCTATAAGACTTGGATTAGTTGGATGTAGGCTTATAGGTAATAATAAGTTATAAATTGTTGTTTCCACTGTCACTTCACTCAATTCATTTTTAATGTTTTTTTTTCTTTTTAAATTGTCTGAATTTGTGTATTTTCTGAATATGTTTCCCATTTTTTATCATCTCTGTGCCATTTTCAAACAAACTTACTGTGTTGTTTTTGTGGTTGTGTTTTGTTATATATATTGAGGAATTCATATTTTGTGTCTTAAAGACTTAAGTGGCTTAATTTTACTTTTCAAATGATAATCTGTCGTTTTCTTGTGCTTTCTTTTTCTACTTGTCTTCAGTGTTGTCTGACTTTAACTCCTAATCTGTGTTTTTGCTTCTTTGCGTTTTCTAAACTCATTCTAATTTCTAACAACAGAGGGCGCTGTTTCTTCAAAGTACCGTATTTTCTCAAGTTGAACTTGTCGCGCGGTTCTCTTTTTGTGATGTAATGTCTGGCTTGCTTACAGTCCAGAAAGACAGGTTTACCCAGCTATGAAAAAATATATACATATACACAAATTTAGAAAAGTCCCGCACGGTACAGAGTTATAGTACAACTACAAAAGGAAATATCTTTAAAAATGTGTAATGACACATTCATCATGGAGAACAACTCACTTGACACATTTTAATGAGTTGAGTTTTTTGCATCCAAAATTATATCTAAATTAGGTGGATTATTCAATAATGGCCTGCTTTATTTACATTCAGACTCTATGTGTTAGAGAATTGAACTTGGTAATGATATATCTGCAGTCAATTCAATATACTGAACAATCTGTAATATTGGTCTCGAAAATATATAACAGTTATCAGCTTTACAACCGTTCCTGATCTTCAACTTCCTGTTTGGTAAAACAGAAAATGTAGCAGAGCAAGCTGATTTTATAAATTATTATCACATTTTAGATGTCCCTAGTATGACTTTTCTATTTATTTATTTATTTTGGTATGTTTTGTACAAATATTATTTTTCAGTCTTAGTTGCTTTGGTTTTGTAATTCATCATGGTCACAGTCCCATAAAAAAAAAAATAATAATTATATATATATATATATATATATATATATATATATATATATATATATATAGATATAGATATAGATATAGATATATATATATAGTAATTTAACAAATACATTTACAGTAAGTGGCAGCTTTATACCTGCTAAAATATGACATTTTTACACACCCCTTCTGTTATTTGAATTAATTAATTTGATTTTTTTATATGGTTCTTGGAAAAGGGAGCAGAGTGATAGGTCTTCATTGTTTTATATCCTATCAGATCTAGCATAGAGAACAACGCCAAAGTTGGAAAGCCTCTGACGCAGGTATCCCCCTGACTGACAGCCCAGTGCTCCAATAAGGGCTCAGATCATTTTCAGGGTGGGGAGGGGGAGGAAATTCCTTCCCTTTACAACTTCACAATCAGGAAGTAATTCACTATCTGCACCAATTCACAACTTTCTTCACAATCCAAACACTGAAAACACAAGGGGATTGTTATGGCACGGAAAGCTGACAAAGTTCATAGATTACAGGATTGTCCAGATATTCTCCTCAATATTTACACTGTGACCTTGGATTTACCAAGTTCCAGTGTTACAACATCAGTCTGAAATTATCACACTGGCTTTGTGTGTTAGAGAGACTTATGTGGTTCATGACCTTCAATTATCCTTTGAGGCCGCACTCTATCTCACTGACTGCAAGTACTGCATGTTCCCTAACAGCTGAAGCACATAACCAGTCAGTTTCTGCATTTTACACTCACGCACCTGTAGATCATTTGAGGATTTGAAAAATAAAATCCAAATATGAGAACTTTGGATTTTAGGGGCCATGCTGAGGGCATCAGATATTTAACTGGTCTATAAAATTACAGGAAAAACAGAGAGATGTATGCATCCCCTGCCGAGACTTATGATATAATTACAGTACCTCTCGTCATTTCTTTAATTTTCTTTCCACAATCTAAAAGAAGAAAAAGGTCTTCTATCTGAATGTTAGAACTGTAACTATACAGCCATATGTTTACATTACTGTTCATCACAATGTTTTTTTTAATTATTATTACTGCTGATTAATTTATCAAGGCTGCACTTAAAAAAAAGAAATAGTCTAGAGAGCTGTTCTTAAAATTTTTTTTGCTTACACTTGTGTATACAAAATGACCAAATAAAATCTGTGTAAATCTCTAAGTCTATATTTCTATATAAGCATTTTTGCTGTCTTCTTTAATTATTTGTGGTGCACATTTAACCCAAAAATAATTACTGTGATATTACACCCACTCCTTTCATAGAAAATAATGTTTTTGATGGCAAAAAAAAAACAAAACTTGTACCTTAGTGCAATTTAGATCTAAATTTCTCTAAACATATGTTTCTCTCTACTTAGCTTGATTTTGACTGATAGGAAAAATATAACAGTTCTGAAAAAAATTATGCTTTTTTTTACTCATAAGGCAAAATAGGAAATTAAACAATTCTCAATAGCTAAAGATGCGGGGTGATTTTAACTTTATTATAACAAGCACCTAGTAGGACATGTTTTTATCACTTTCATTCACATTGATATTAAAACGCAGTAAAATGGCGCCCCCAGCTGGCCAGTAATTGTAATTGCTTAGAATTTTTAGGAGAACATTCATTTAAGCCTCATCATTTGCACTGAAATAAAACTCCAGAAATCAATTCGAGAAAAATAGTTTATTTACAGTGGCATCAATCAGAAATCAAAAAGCAGCATTGGCTAAACAAACATCAGAGTCAATAGTTTGCATAAAGTGGGTGAACAACTCTAGGGTTAAAACACTAAATACCAACAGGAAACTGGACTGTTAAGATGCTGAGATGTTTTCCCTTAACTTTAAAGACAATACTCCCAATCAAACCCCTACATTCTCTGGTTGATATATCTAGGTTTACAGCATTCATTGCATTTTAACAATGGCAGCACTTTGAAATAGCAGGGAAATATTTCAGTAAAACTGCTTCACCTTCGATTATGTCGTTAATCCAAAGACTACTTTAAATGAGTGTAACCTTTTATTTACACAAATCTGAAATTAAAAAGGTGAAAAACAGGGTCAGGAAATAGTGGAATTTGTTGCTTTTATTCTCAGTAAAATTTGCAACTAATTTTGAACTTCTAGTGTAAATATTTGCACAAGGGAGAAAATGTTTTAGGATTTAACTCTTCTGAATTATAATTTTATTAAAACCTGAAGGTTTGAGTTGCATGAAGGTAATTTATAAAAGGTGTTTATTTGTCAATAAATCAATCTCTTGCAAAAACATGTTGAATCAATACATTTTTAAGGTGATATAATAACCACAGTAATTAGCAGAGGCCCCTGAGTTCTTATTGACAAAAAGCTTAATGGCTTTTGTTGGAAGAGCCAGCTGATATCAGAAAATGCTAACAGTGAGATAAAGTGGTCAAAGTCTCCTTAACATAGCAAGTACTTAGACCCACGAAGCTATTTTAAGCCGGATCCATTACTGTATGCTTCAGTGCTTGGCCTCTGTAACTGTCTTTAGTTTGAGCTTTCCCAAAATTGATTTATTTTTAATTGATTTTATTTCACAGTTGGGCACAGAATCAGATCAAAAAAGTTCCACATTTAGGTCATATTTTGTGGACCATCTTAAATTTTTGATTTTGAGAAAAAAAAAAAAAGCATTAATTGTAAACCTGCTATCCTGGGTTCCACAATCATGTTAAATGCTTTTAATTAAAATGATCAGATTTCTGACTATGATATTACAATAATCTTTGGACAACTGTAATTCAATTGTATTCATATCAAAGAAGAAATCCAAACAATAAAAAATAGATTTATTCCCCCTTTAAAACCAAAATACTGTTTTATCCAGGGTGTACATCGGAACATACAGACAGTTCGATGAGAAACAGTGGGAATTTTCTAACATGAATCTTTAAAAGTTTATCACAGCTTTCTTAAAGTCTCATTTCTTGTGAGAAAGCCTAAAATCCCTGCTTATAAAATGCATAAAGTGGAGTATCACCAATTCAGCAGAATTCCACACACCTGATACTCTATAAAACCTTACAGTTAAACACCAAACAGAAAATCAAAAATCTAAGGCAGTAATCTATGCATATTTACATGAAATACAAACAGTACAAATATACAAATTACCCAATATGTATTGTTGTCTCAGTTTAAATCAAGAAAAGCAGTTTACCTTCATATAAGACATTTTGAGATCATTTAAACAAGTTTTTATCTTCACTTTAATCTTGCTGAGTGTTTCAGACATTCGGAGCACGTCTATGGCCTACATTTAATCTCTGAGGTTGTAAAGGTTACATTTTGAAGACAAAAAACAAAGAAATGACTGTTTTAATATCAGGGAGAGTGAAATAAAATTTTATATTTTCTTTACAGTTACGTTTTTCCAGTTTTTATTGCCCATTCTGTGTACAGTATGTTGAAGATGTCCCAAAAGAACAAACAGGAAAAATTATGCAATGAAAAGAAAAGAAAGCACAGATAAAACAGCACCGAAATGAATGTGGTTATAGTGTATTCCCAAAATTCCCTGACTTCATATTGATTTGGATTGAAAAGGCTCTTAGTCATAAAGCCTTTTAGATAAAGTACATTTTTAATGCAGTATTGAAATCCTGAATTTTTAATGATTTATCTTTAAAAGCTGAAAAATGTAAGTATCAACAACAAGATTAAAACAAAAAGCTTATGCAAAACTTGGCTCGCATTTAAAAAGATCACTCTAGAGTGGAGTTACGTTGCTATCAAATAAGAGAGAAAATAAGAGATTTTATCTCAAGGGACTTCCTGGTAAAATAAAGGTTAAAAAAAAAAAAATGCTAATTTGTTTGGGCCAGGATCAAATAAATAATTTTTTTTTGTAACACAGCATGCTAATACTTAGATTGCAAGTACTGAATTCATATCTTCCAAAAGTTAAAAGCTGCAGTCATTTTGGAAATAAAAAAACAAAAACAAATCATATTTGTGTATATTAAAAACAAGGGTGTGATATTGTTTTGCCTGAGAAAGAAGGACAAGGGTATTTGGGTTTTTCTTCATAAAGAGGTCATCTAGTGATTAGGTTTTGATGCTCTATTAATGTATGCAAGTCTTCAGATAGCTATTAGTTCGTTTTTTTTCTTTGCCGTCATGGCAGTTTGTTTTGCTTTCATGTTTAAGCATCTGTAAGTGATTGAATCTTCCTCAGCGCAGACAGATCGTTTGCATAGTATTGCATGAGATAAGTATTGTTGTTAATGAGCTGTCATTATTTGAGTAGCAGTCAATATAATTTTAGTCACATGTATGTGTGAGTATACATGCTGTGTAAGAGCTAATAATGAAGAGTGTTGAGAGTTTGAATCCCAGTTATATGTGCTAACATTGTTACATGCATAGTAAAGTGATGATGGAGCGTTTTGGTTTGTTATATATTGCACTGTACCTAACTGCAGTACTGAAAACCATGGAAGTTGTACTGTACTGGATAAATAAAAAGAATGAAAGCATGTCAAAGCTGTTCCTCTTAAAGAGAAAATGTGGAGTACTCCATTTTGTGCATTTATTCTAGTTGCAATGGCAGAAAAAAAACCCATTTACTTCATATAGGCAAATTTGGTCAAAACATAAGAACATTGAAAATGAAATGGAAACTTGGACATTTTCCAGTGCTACATGCTAACAGTTAGCATACTAACAGTGCTACTATGCTAAACATTACAGCAGCCGGTCTTTGTCTTTCGCTTGTGTCAAATTTCCCCAAAATACATCCAACAGGAAGTCTGTTTGAAAAAACAGTGTGCTTAATTTAAACCATGGCCTATTTTAACTCTGTTGATCATTTATTCAACTCCAAATGCTGCTTTATGATGGCTCTAAAAGAACAAAGGGGTAAAAGGATCTATGTACAATATACACATTCACATTTATATGAAAAAAATCTTTAAATAGGGGACATATGTCCTGTATACAACAGCAGTTCAAATATATATTACTTTTCAAATCAACAAGTACCATTTCAAAAGATTTCGTAAAGTTATAATTGATTTTCATCCGTACAAATAATCTCTAAAACATCTTTAAATCTATAAATAACTGTAAAATATTCATATAGTTTCCTTTTTACGTTCAGTCGGGCTCTAAAAGAGAACCAGGAGTTTAAAAAATATTGATAGATTCATTTTATAAATCTCTACAGTGTGAAATTGTGAGAATCAGAGTTTAACACACAAACGTGCTAGCTCACACACAGTAGTCAACCACAAACACATGGCCTCAAAAACTTATGAGATCAAACGTCGTTTTTTCTTTTTAAGAGAGATAACTGTATCACATCCTTACAGCAAACATCCAATGTAAGCAGCTGGACTACAGATTGCACACACTTCATAAATCTGTGTCATTAGCTGAAAACCCAAACTTTTTTTTTAATATACAGTTTATGTACCTGTTTTACTGCAAACAATTCTTGGAGGCAGCATTTCCACCAGTTATCTGTTAATAATTATCTTAAAAGTTGTATGTGCTGCATTCTTAAGACAAAAGGCTAATTATTTTGTTTATTATGTTGAAATTACTGATAGGTATTTCCAGGGACGTGCACAGATAGACAATAGGTGATGCCAGAGTACCTCCCCTTTTCCCCTCTGGACAAACAAGTTGTTTGTCCCCTCTTGAAATCGTTTTCTGTTTTTTTAGTATTTCGCCCAAAATAGCATTCATGATTTTAAAAACCTTTCAAACCCAGAGCCTAGATTTATGTAATTTTGCTTCACCTGACATGTAGCCTGACCTCAATAGAGCCTTGCCCTGATGAAGGGCAAGGTAACCATCCAGGTAACTTAGCGTATTTACCTCCAAACGGTTACTTCATAGCAGAACATATTTAATGGCCTCTACCGGGCCACAAGGAGTGGTTTAAAATGGAACTCTTTGATTAAATTAGAAAAAGATTGAACTTAAAGCATCTAATAGATGTCACTATTGATTTGCTATAATGGTCGGGGACTTCATGAGATCTACTTGACTTTTTTTTTTACAGCACACAAGTTACCTTTAGTCGGTTTAACATTTCATTTAAAAGCAAACATAAGGCCAAATGATAAGAATTCGTAAAAATAACTTTAATAAAGTTCTATTCAGTTAAAGTATTAGTATTTCTGTGTTTATCTTGGACTGCAAAAAATGACCTGGAAATATGTAAAATGTTCTGAAAATAACCTTATCTGTCCCTAATCTGAACAGGGAAATAAGATGATCTGTCAGTGGAATAAGTGTTTGTAACTATTATTACATAATATGCACTTGAAATAAGATAATAGAGTTTTTTGTTTTTTTTTATATTTGAAGTGTAAATCTTAGTTCATCTGCAAATTATCATATGTACTCAATAGACTTAAAGATATTCTGGATTTGTGGGCTTTATATTAGTGGATTTGAAATTGTTATTTATTGAAGTGACACCAATGTGGCATTGCTACCTCTGGACTACAGAAGATCCTTAAACGTCAGCATCAGGCTTGTTTGGCTCCATGCAACGTATAAGGTGCCTTTTTCCAACCTGAACACCTACCACCAAAAATGTCTGTGCACGCCACTAGGTATTTCCATTTATAGATCAATATTATTTTAAAAGAATCCTACAATTGATTCTAAAGTTAGGTGATAGCTACTGTTTAGTAAATCATAATAAAATATAAAGTCTCATTAGGTTGTTCTGTGAAAGAGAGAAGCTAAGAGGAACGTTTTAACCGACATTATATAACTAAATGCGTTTCTGAAAAACACCAAAGCAAACATCCTGCCATTGGCATGACTTTCCTACAATTGTGTTTGGAGTCAGAATTATTCAGATTGAAGTTCAGTATCTTCAAACTCTGTTTGCGAATAATTCCTGAAGCAGGAACTAAGAAGTATGCTTGGAGTTCAAATGTCTTGACTTTTTTCTTCCATTGCTACTCCTCTGAAAAAAAAAAACACTTGTCTCTTGCAGGAAACCCAAAGTCTTCATATTTTTTTCCAGACCTCTCTGGGTGTCAGGGTTTTAGCACGGCTCCGTGGGTTAGGTCTTTTCCAAAAAAGCCATGGTCAGCAAAAATTCTACAAAAACACAGAAAACCAGCATCACACAGAGAAGTTAACATTAATAAAGCTCAGTAATTGGTAAAATACACAAAACTAAATGGTTAGAATTTTTCATGTAATGGGAATGGGTGAAATAACTGAGCCGATCACAGCTAGACCGGCGCCCCTGTCTGCCAAGGCTCTTGGTTTGATCTGGAAAAAGTGGCCGGTGCCAAACTTCCTTTTTTTCCTGAAAAATGTGCTTATTTCATTTCATTTCATTTCTAGAAGCTGTTTGACTGCATCCAGTGTGGATTGCTTTGGCTTGAGTTCACCAAAAGGTCAACACATTTGCAGCCTAATTTTTTTGCAGGCAAATTTTATGCAGCTAATTTTTTTGCAGCTGAATTTTCACCAGATTGAAAATTCAGTGTAAGGAATTCAGTGTAAAAAAAGTGTTTAAAATTTGCAGCTAAAATTTTTTTTATCAAATATTTATTGAAGTTTTTCAAAGGTTTAGATGCAGAAATTGATGTCTCTTTTACAGTTAACTGGCAGATGGTGGTAAAGGTTGACTGCTCTGCTATACAAAATATCATGAAGTACGTCTTCTTTTAAATGAATTGAGTTAAGTTGTACATCTGTGGGTGTCTTTCAGATACAACAAAGAGTTGGAAAAATCTAATTTTACTCACAGAATTGACATTGCTGTCTTGGTTCATCATATCGATTCCTCCAAACTGTTCCAGGATTAGGTTGCTGTCACCCACCTGCACCAACAGAAAAAAAAAAATAACACAGGTGTCCAAAAAAGGTGTCAATGTCAAAAATCAAAACTTTGTCAGATTCGAATAACTCAGTTTTCAGTTAAGACGTAGCAGGTTTGAAATACGGAACCTGCAACAATGCATGGATGGATGGATGGATGGACAGATGGATGGATTGATGGATGGGTGGATGGACGAATGAATGTTAGATGATCGATGGATGGACGGATGGTTTACGGATGGATGAATAGATGGGTGGATGGATGCACGGATGGATAGATGGATTGACAAATGGATGGAAAGGTGGATGGATGGATGGATGGATGGATGGATGGATGGATGGATGGATGGATGGATGGATGGATGGATGGACAGATGAACATTTAAATTTTAAAGAAAATTGTCTGAATATCTGAGCTTGGAGGAAGTAGTGATTTTGTCACCTGTTCAGTCATGGAGACCATCTGCCCTGACACTGCATTCATGCTGCTGCTGTTGTACATTCCAGCACTGGATTGTGTCGAGAACTGAGACTGGGACTGCTGGGGATAACCACTGAGAGACATGCAGCACAGTCTTAAAGAACATCAGAAAAACTTAATTTGATGTTACAAAGATCTGGAAAATGTTCTGTTACCTGTTGCTGTTTGAAATGTTTGCAGACTGAGACCACCCGTTCAAGTCCCCGCTAGTCTGGTAGCTTGGCGGACCTCCCTGGTTTGGAGTCTGGGTTTGGGTTTGTGTTTGGCCCTGGTTTTGCTGCAACATGGGGCTCTGACCCTGTCCCATTCTGGGGGACAGCAGGGGGCTCTGCGGTGTCCCTGCCCCACAGGGAAAGCATGACACTGGGTCCTGGTGTTGCTGCTGGTGGCTCATTCCTAAAAACAGAGCACATAAGATACATTTTAGTTCATGTTCCATTTAAAAACAAAACAAAAAAAGTTGTTGGTTTCAAATTTATAGAGATTATTATTGGAATATCAGACAAAAACAGATAAAAACTTGTCCTGATTTAAAGGTTAAAATAATAACTTATTTTGAACGTGTCTGGCTTCTAAGAGTTAATGAAGCACGCTGCTGTAGAAGAGGCTCCAAGTACAATCAGAATATTTACTTATTTTGAACTATATTCATGACAAAGAGGAAACATGATCACCTCACCAAAAGTGACAACATCCTGTATAAAGCACAGAACAAATCCAATACCTGAAGTGTTAAACTGGAAGGCACTGTGCTGTGATGAAGGGCTCATTACGCTGCTGTACTGCCCGCCTACGTTTCCCATCATGCCCTGGCTTGCCAGGAGATGACTCGGGGATAAAGGGGAGGAGAAGGGGCTGGAGGAGCCGGGATGAGGAGGAGGAGATGGCAGGCCAGTACCGTAGCTGGACGCTGGGTAGGAAAACCTCTGCATGTTTCCCTGCGTCATCCGGGGGTTGGCACCAGCCATGGCCATTGGCGTGGGAGCAGCCCCCCCGCTGGACATGTTTGGCGGAAGGTTGATGCCCTGAGTGCGCATCATCATTGCACGCTGCTGATGTGCATGGTGCTGCAGTTGTTGGCGCTGACGTAACTGGTTGTTTATGTACTCGCGCTGACGCTGGACCAGCATCTGAGAGTTGACAGTTCCCTGCATGCGACAATGGAAAGAAGAGCGTTTCTGTCATCACCATAAAATGAATAGGGGAAATAATGCACTCCAAAAGAATGCACGACACGTTTAACTTGTACAGGACTAAATCATGGAAAACTTTTCACACCTTGGTATTTTTTAATCCACATTTTACAACTATGAAAAACCCAGATTTACCCAGTTTAGGTAATCCTGTACTGTGGGTTTATTTTTTATAATTAAGAATGATATACTGTAGTGTTTTGAAATTATATTTAGCCCTTTAACCATCCTTTTTCTGTAAATATAGCCAGAGGTGTTGAAAATCTCCAGACTAATTAATTATTACCATTCTACTCAAATTAAGTCAAATTGGAAAAAGATTGATATTGGATATAGTTTTACACTGTAACTGTAGACTTCTAACATATTTTATATAGTTTTTAAATACCATATATTTTTCACCTGTACTTAAAGGTGTCATTACCTGCATATCTGAGTTTTTTGCTATGTTAAAAAGCGTGTGTTGGATTTGGGCTGTCCAAAAACTGCAATTTTTGTTTTCCTCCTTAAATGATGTCATTCATCCGAGGTGCTAACATTAGCACACCTTGCTATCAGTACGCCCGTCTCTATCCCACCTAAAGGGGTGATCCCAACAATCAGGAACTTGCCTGTCTGTAAGTGTTGCTGCTTGTGTAATTTGTTTTACCAACTGTGTAAAGGATGAGAAAACAATGACTAAGGAACATTTGCAAACTGCTAATGTTGCTAATGCTACAGCTACATTAACGGGCACACATACACATTTTTTTTCCCCTTAAAGTGATTAAACATGAATTAAAAGACAATTTCAGAAGGATTCTTTAAGTAGATTAACTGGTTATGACTCCTTAAAATTTTCATCCACGATAAGTCTTAATTTAGCTTTATCTTTTTACTCTGAGAGGCATCTCTGTAACTTTGTGGATGGTGTGTTGAGTAACATCCAGCAGTTTTTTTTTCATTTCACAATTCCCATTTTGTAAGCCTATCACATGAAATCACATCAATACATTTTAAATTTTTTTTTAAATTGAAAATTTAGGGTATACAATAATATTTAAGTGGTGTGAATACTGTTAAAGATAATAGAAATCATGTGAGGGTGGTTGGTGTAAGCAGCTGACCTGGGGTGAGACATTAGATCTTAGAGGTAGATTCATATTTGTGACTCCACCCATTTGGTTCATCACCGGCTGACGGTTCTACAAAACACACAAAATCCAGATGTCAGAACTATAAGGGAAACCTCATGGAAAATGTCAAAAACTTTGTTTAAAACCACTGCAAATATACTTCAATAGAAGTCACTTACTTGAAACCTTAAACATAAAAAAATTATACAAACACACATACATGTACACACCCACACATACATACACATACATATATATACATATACATACATATACATACACATACATAATATATAAATATTTTCATATACATAAATATATATGAAAATATTTATTTTTGGCTTGGAAATTTTCATTTGGATAATCATTAAAATAAAAATCCCTTAGCATACCTAAAAATCAACTCAAAAAATTGTAGCTATATATCTAAAAGATCAAATTAAACTTTTATTTTGAATATTAGGTCAATATACGTTCATAATGTAGGAATTTTACATATTTTTAAATTCATTTAAGTTAAAATTAAGGTTTTCTATAAAATCAGATTTAGAACTCAAGAATAACAGATAAATCTAGCTGTAAAAATGAGAGTATTACATATTTTTAAATTTGTTTTGAAAACTGGGATCCTGTCTCAATACAACAGAAGTGATCACTTTATTGTCTTTAAATAATTAGTAAAACAGAATTTTTAAAGAAAAAAAAATGAAACAGTTTCAAAGGACCTATCAGAAACCATGTCTTTTCCAGCGCATATCATCATTAGAATTTCATTTACCATTATGTCTTCGGCACAGGGGCCATAACAGGGGCCAGGACATAATCTCCAGGGGCACGGGCCCCCATTGGCCCCTGTCTAGAACCGCCCATGATGATAATGGCATTGATATGTTGTTTTTGTTGCTATCATTACATTTACTGCAAATATTCAAAGCAACACCTTCAGAATCGTTTCTGTTGTTATGAAACCATAACATTTCTTGAGGAAAACCAAACCATAAGAAAGAGGTTAAAACAGGAATATACCAAAATATTTTTTTGTTTATAATCATTAAGATTACAAAAGGTGCTTTCCCTCAACTCTCCACTAGGGGGCAGCTCGTACCAATAACATAAAATACACCTTTATGATATTGGTCTGAGTTGTAGCATAAAATACATATGCAGTAGTGATGATGAATATCTGTGATTCAGTCTGACATCAAGCCTATGATTTCTTCAAAGACCCATGTCTGTAATGTTTACTGGTTACAAAAGGCACACCATCCATGTCTGTAGAGGCTGAGTATTAGTTCATATATAGCAGTGTTCCTGCAGCCACTTTTTTTCTTCTTTTGTCTGCAGTTTAAACTCAGTGAACCCCACCAACCTGTCTGTTTGCATACATGTAGCTCCTTTACTAAGAGATATCTTCAGAATGTAATGGGATACGCTGCAATTTGATGATTTTAGATTAACTGACTAGTCTATTACCGGATTAATAGGAAACAATACAGACAATTTTTTTTATGTATTTAAAGAGAGAAAAAAATTAACCACTTTGCAAAGAAAATGCAGCAATAAAAGAAAAAAAAAAATATACAATCCTTTTTTTTCTATATCAAAAAACAATCAATAGGAGATCACCATTAAAGAAGGCCAACCTAAACAGACTATAAATTCAGCCCAGCTCAATCTACACTAGTTAAATTGTTTAATTGTTTAATCAAAATATTCTCTTAATTTTACAGTGCCTACCAAACATATGGGCAAGGAATGCATTAAGAGGCTTGTACTAAAGATTTATTTCACCTAATTTATCCAAACACTAGTTTACATCGTATTTGTTTACATTCCAGAGTGCATATAAATTTTTGTCATGCATTATTTTTTCATACTTAATTAATCAAAATGATGACCAGCTTGTCTTCAGCACAGGTGTTTTCTTTTATGATCAAGTCATTTTTGTGCATTGATTATTAACAGGAATAATGTAAGTAATGTACTTTTAAACACCAAATGACTTATTAAATGTAGAGCCAGAATCTTTGTATGTCTCTCCACCTATTTTGTATTAATAAAACTGGAGGAAATTGTCTGATCTCTGATGCTCTTATCAAAAGCTCATAACCAAATAGAGATGATCATAACTAATTAGCTGAAACCTACCAGCTGGGCTTGGAGTCTGTGCTGTAGCTGGAGCCTCAGGTTGTTGGGCTGCGATGGCACCATTGAATTGGGGCCACCAGGTCTCATGCCGGGGGGCCGGGGTCCTGGGGCACCGGGCATTCTCATCATAGGAGGGTAGCCTGCCGGTGCCATCCTTTGAGGTCCCATGTGGCCGGCGATTGATTGGGCAGCATATGCGCCATCAGGGGGTAAGCCACCGTAACCTGGCTGCCCCCCGTACTGTTGACTGTAGAGGGGAGCTTTAAGGCTAGACGGTGGCTCCAAGGGACCCAGGTACTGCTCCTGCTCTGAAAGAGGACCCTGAAGATGAAGACAGATTATATTGTTTGTTCTCCTGTTTTTGTTCAGTGCCATGCAAATGTACCAATAACCTTTGAAATTTTGAGGCTACCAAAAACACTGATGTATTCTATTGGTCTTTCATGGAACAAACATGGAGTAGTGAATAATTGTGAGTGTAGGTGTAGAAAAAAAATATCTACATATTTTCCAAAATTTTAAAATAAAAGTATTAACATTGAGACAATTTATATTCAACCCACTTTTTAAGCAGGGTTAGTGTATAGAAACGTTTTACAGAGCACTGATCAATCCTTTTTTTTATTTATTTATTTTTTTTATAAATGAGCTGAAATCAACAGTTCATGATGGCAAATCTGTAAAAAGTAACACTATTAATTGCAAAAATAACTCAGTCTTTATGGAAGAGTGGCTAAACCATGTGGAGGAAGGTGCTTTGTCAGATAAAGCCAAAACATTATTTATTGGTCTTTCTGCATAACAGGAAAATGGCAGAAAAAGCACTTCACACTGAGTGTTATCCCTCCCTGTAAAACATGGTGATGGACGAGTAATGCTTTGGGAAAGAGAGCTGGTCAAGGGTGATGGATGGAGAAAAAACTAGAAGGTGATTTTGGAAGGCACTCTGTTAAATTCAAACACATGAGACTGGAGGGTACGTTTAATTTCCAGTAAGACAAAGACCTTAAGCTTTAACCACAGATACAACAGAGCGGTGGATTACAACAAATTCCCGTCTGTCTTCTCTGGAAAAAAAAAAAAAAAAAAAGTAGGGTGAACCCAGCTTACCTGTCCAGCAAGAGTGGGTATTCCCAACATCTTGTCAATTTCTTCCAGACCCTCATAGTCCTTCAACACCGAACACAGCTGGTTCAGCAGAGCACCCTCATCTGTCTGACCTTCAGGTCCGGAGCCACAACAACCAATCCCGTCTTCCTGAGGAATGCCATAGGGCGGCCTGCGAGGTGGCACTTTGTCAGACTAAACAAAGCCAAAGCAATTTCCTTCATTAAACTTTAGGATGAACTAAATGCCAAACCTGCTTTGGTTTCCGTAGTGATCCATCATCATCATTCGGTCTGGCCATGGAGCTGTCTGATTGGGCGGAGCCTGCTGTTGATGGTAGGGAGGAGCTGCCATGTCCAAGTCTAACATAAGAAAATAAGATCATAAACATCAGGTATAGTGTATGGCAGCTATGGAGCATCGCTTTGGTGATTTCTTCGCACCATTTCCCATCATCTGCATGTTGACCAAAGCTCTAGAAACATTTGAACCGTTGCTTCTTGTAGGGAGTGTAGGATTCATGCCCGGTACCATTCGACCAACTCCGTGTGGCATCATTGGTCCAGAGTTCCCGCCTGTTGGAGCATGGGGACCCCAGCCTTGCTGCATGGAGCCACGAAGGCCTGCTGAAGGGGGATTCAGAGGAATTTACATCACTACAAGCATTTTGGTTAATCCTTCCCTATAAAGACCAAAATATTAGATAATTCTGTAAGAATTAAAACAGAATCCTTTCTCCTTCCCGAAGCTTTGAGGAAAACTATTTACATGTTACAGATCTGTTAGATTGTTTTGCCTAACCTGTGTTAGGTCCTGCTGCCTGGTTCATGCTGGTGTGAGTTCCCATCATGCCTTGCTGCTGCAAAGGATAGGGGCCATTATTTCTGTGCTGAGGTGGGAGAGGCCTGGTGGGGCTGGAGCCCATACTGTTGTCCAGAGACATGCTTCTAACTGGAGGAGCCCCCTGACCAGACTGGCCTGACCTGACACCATTGAAACTTCCTAGGATAAGAGAAAAAAAAATGTAAAAACACCAAAAATACTTGTTCAATCAAAAAAAAATTAGATTGAATAATAGAGTAATATAAAAAAAGCCTGCTAAAGACGTACCTGCAGGTCCGATAGGAGGGAAGGCTCTGTGCTGGCTGGGGGAGCTGCTGCTGCTGCTGGTGTCGTTCATCTGCAGGATGTCACTGATGATGGTCTGTTTGTCCACAGAGGAGCCAGCTGGCACCGCTGATGAAGATGATGAAGAGGACGGAGGCTGACTGGGAAACAGCTGCTGCTGGCTGCTGTTTTGCAGGTCCTCCAGCAGGTCCTCCAGCTCAGATGGCTGGAAGCAGCCACAACGAAAAACGTTATTTATTACAGGAATTTCTCTCTTTAAAAATCAATACACAGTATGGAATCTTTTACAATTCAAGAAATGACTGAAAATCCTCAGCAAGTATTTAAACTGATCTGCACTATATATTTTGAAGTATAAAGCAGTGCCCTTTTCAAACAAATGCATATTTTCACTGCATGTCCTACAATAATAGGCTTAGTTTATGAAAAATGTTGTTTTAATAGGATTTTATATTGAATGACCTGATGATTATATTGAATAAAGACCTTGAGCAAAACCATCATAAAAACAGTTAAATCTTTTAAAAGACAGTATCTAGTGCTGGAATCAGATATGTTGCTTTTGATATCTCCCTAAAGAAAAAAATCCTTTACATTCATATACTTTATTAAGATCATGTAATCACGTCCTTGCTTGTTTTCTTTACCTGATTTTTTTTAAATGTTTTCAGATTCATGATTTTCAGCGAACAGACATTCACATCTTTAGTAATATTTTTTTCTTTTAAAACACTCCAAAAATAAAAGTTTGACTTTGTTTAAAGCTTTTAAATATTTTCAAATCAATAACCATTAAAAAGCTGAACAAAACAAATCATAAAAAAAAGTCAGGTCAAGTCTGATGACAGCTTTGACAAAAACAGAAACCTCGTTCAACCTGAGTCAGTGAAACACTCTAGCCCAGCCCCTTTACATCCACACACACACACACACACCCAGGCACACAGTGGACGAGATGGTTTCCTAGGGGCCTTTAGCTGATGAATGGTGTGGGGAGCTAAAAATAAACTTCCAGCCCTAATGAGGTCATGTGTGATGTACAGTAGGATACATACAGAGGTTTTAGAAGCAATACGTGCACACCCTAACATACAAATGTCCTTCTAAGTTTACATACCCTTCCATTAAGGACAAAGA